AGTTGTTTCTGACTTATGGTGACCCTAATATCCTTCTTAAAATGGGGCATCCAGAATTGGACATAATATTCCAAATATAGCTTAACTAATGTAGAATAAATAGGACACAACTCCCATGGCCTTGACTCCTGTAACAGAGATACAGCCCAAGATCTCATTAGCTTTTGTAGCCACAGCAGTTGCATCCCACTGCTCTACCAGCTCATGGCATATTTTGTAATCCATCAAGACACCTAGGGCCTTTTCATATGTTTGTTGTTGTTATGTGCCTTCAAGTCGTTTCCGATTTATGGTGACCATAAGCTGAATCTATGATGGAGTTTTCTTCGCAGGTTTCTTCAGAGGGGATTTGCCATTGACATCCTCTGAAGCTGAATGAGAGTGACTTGCCCAAGGTTACCCGGTGGGTTTAAATGGCCTAGCTGTGATTCAGACCTTGGTCTCCAGAGTCGTAGTCCAACACACAAACCATTTTCACATGTGCTGCCACCCAAATAGGTCTCCTCCATCTGAAACATGTACTGGTATCTGTTTGTTTACTTTATCACTGAATGCAAAACTTTACATTTATCTGTCAAACTTCATCTTGTTATCTGGGCATAGTGCTCTAACTTGTTTGGAGTTTTGTGGGTCTTAAGCCTTCCACAGCAGTGCTTCCATAGCAATGCTACTCAAATTGGAGATCCATGGACCAGTTCTGGTCCAAAAGCCATCAACTGTCAGTCCCTGGAGAGTTTCCAGGAAAGAAAGAAATAATTATAGCCAAAGGGCACAAATATATCACAATGAGAGAAAAAATTGCCAGTCCTTCATGTTAAATAGCTTTAGAAGCATTAGCTCTCCTTCTTAGTTTTGTTTTCTTAGTTTTCTTCTGCAAACTTGGTAAACAAATTGTCTACACCCCCACCCAAATCATTTATAAAATATTGAACAACGCAGGTCTTATGATAGCAACGTCTGGCACTCTACATCAGATCTTCTTGAAGGAGAACAATGATCCATGATAAGCATTTGTTAAGTCCGGTTGCTCAACCAGTTGTGGATCCCTCTCACTGTGTTTTTGTCCACTCCAGATTTTATCATTCTCTCAATAAGGCTACCATAGGAAATGATGCTCAATGCTTTGCTGAAATCAAAGTATGCCCACAGCATTCTCTCTGAGTTACACTTGTAACTCAGAGAGGAGAGGAGAGAAGATTGATCTGGCATGAATTATTCCTGCCAAAGCCCTGCTTACCCCTTGCAATAAATGCATTATAGACTGCATAGTTGCTCAGAGACTGATCACTTAATAATCTGTTGTAGAAATTTGCCCTGTATTGATGTCAGGCTGACTGGTCTGTTAATTTTCTTGTGCCACTTCCCCCCCCCTATTTTTCTTTTTAATTCTCCCCCCCCCCCACCCTTTAAGTAGCATTTAAAAGACAGGGAAGGGTAATGACTGATTGACTTGCAAAGGCTCAGAGTGTGTTATATACATAATAGAGGTGGAAAAATCACTGAGCAGCGGTCAAGGAGGCTGGAGGTTCTCCTTCCTGGTCGTCTCCTTGCCTCTTGGCATATGATGAATCCTATCAACCGTAACTTGTGTTAAACATAGCTTTTGCTAATTAATTACATATTGCTCTGTGTCTCTCCAAAGCTTTTAGCCATGCCGCCGGGCCTGTAGACACAGGCTCTGACATTAGCAGTGATGTTACTGCTGCTGTTCTGCTCATTGTGGAACATGAATGTCACTGAGAGATAAGCAATCTTTTTCGAATGTGACCTTTTTTAAAAAAAGAAAAGAATGACGCTAACTTGGCATTTGCTAAGGGGGAGCCAGTTCATTAAAATTATCTGTATTTCTTATGGAGCATTAGGCAATCTGTAGGGACAATCTCCAATATATTTGCATTTAAAGAATGGGCACATTCCCAGAAATAATAAAATAAAAAAAAATATTCTACATCTTATCAACCATGGTACTTTTTAACTTTCCATTTCCTTTGTGTCTAGAAAGACAATTTAGCTAATGTTCTCTGGCAAAAAGATCTTGGAAGTAGCTTTTGCTTTAAAGCAGGTTTGCAAGCCTTGGAAAGTCCTGAGTGATGCAGTTTAAACAAAGCCAGCCTATTACAATTGCTCTTCAAGTTGTTTCTCTTGTTTTAAACCACATGGCTATGGTGGCTGGGGATGATGGGACTTGTATTCCCCACATCTGGGAAAATTTGAGTCCATCTTCTCTCCCTTGGTTTCCTGAGGGAGGAGGAGGAAAGTGGAGAAGTTTGCTGCATTGTGGCTTCTGGGGAGATCATCCGAGTCTCTGCTTTTTCTTTCCCTACCCATCCCATCATTGCTGCAGTCCTCTAGATGAGATGTTGGTCTAGCCTTAGAACATTCTCTTGGTAACTCTCTTGGTGTGTGAATGACTTTTTCACACACACACAGTAATGCTGACTTTTTCTGACTTTCTCCCTCCGATCCATTCATTCACACACAACAAACAGTCTCCCATACAAATTCTCTCTCTGTGAGGTCATTGTCGAGGTTTTTTAGTGTGTTGATGTGAATCATCTCACTCATGCATTCTGGGTTTGTTATTCACACTGGAACCACATTGATCTGCATCAATTCTCGTCTGTCTAAGTTCGGTTGTTCACACATGCAAGCGCTCAAAGATGGAATCAATGATGCGAATGCATTTGGACCCCCTTTTTTGGTATGTAGTGTTTGATCCCGGGTCTATTTGTGTCTATTTGCATTAGTTATTCACACTATCAATGATGTGAATCTTTTTTTAAAAAAATCAGGGGGAAAAAACTGATATTGATTATCCCAAATTAAGTACCGTAGTTTATTTTGACAGCCCCCTGCAACTTATTCAGGATGTGTGTGAACAATGGAGATTTAATACGGATTCATCCTTGATTATTTTCACAGCATGAATAACTTCTCTCTTTGTGTGCAAATAACAGAGTCACACATTCCTGATTTGTTGTTCACTGTTGTTGTTTTTTTAACAAAACTGCATCTATGCACATCTCTGCAAGTTCTGCTGTCCACACATGTGAATAAAGATGGACTCTATGATACAGATGTATTCAAAACATATTCAACACAGGTCCATGTAGATTGGTTATTCACACAGCTGACAATGCAAATCGTTCAGGATACTGGGATCGTATATCCCAGGTTTTGTGGGGTTTTTGGCAGCACCCCCAAAAATGTAAGTCAGGTGTATTTGATTTGCATGTGAAGACAGATTCTACCCCCATTCAGGATTATTTTCCCAGGCACTGTCGAATTTACAGTTATTTTCTCTGTTATTTGGGCTGACAGTGGATGTTGCTGTTTAATTGTTTTAATTGTTCCCTGCTTTTAATTAACTTTTATTTTATTTTACCTATTGTTTTGTATTTTTAGATTGTATGCCTTTGGCAGGTCTTGATTTCTATTTTCTGCTTTGATTATATCTTTGTACAATGCTGTGTACATTGACAATGCTTTAGAAAATAATAATAATAATAATAATAATAATAATAATAATAATAATAATAATAATAATAATAATAATAATAATATTTTAATCATCTAGACAAGCCCTCAGTCACACTCTTCATCTGGTTTTCACACATGCATATACATTTGTGTATATTCACATATACACAAGAGAATGAATGTTTCTGTGTGACTGTGTGTGAAAGAGAGTAAATGTGTGTGTGAGAGAGAGAGTGAAAGAAAAACTGAAAGAACATGACAGTGTGTACGTATCAGTGAGCACCGGCTTATGTGAGTGTGGCTGTGTGAGAGACACATATGTGTAAAACTTACACTTGTGTTAAGTACTGAATTTATTTAAATAAAACTGTTCTATTTTGGCCAATGTTATTTTGTTATAAAAATATAAAAATCTGAATATACATGAATGTACAAATGAAAATACGAACTCTAGACAAACATAATATTTTTATTCATATACTATGTTGTTGGGGGAGGAGAATAACATCCACATGTGGATGTAAAGGGGATCACAAGGATAAAAAGTTTGAGAACCACCAGTTTATGTAACTTGGTATCCCATCTGGGATCTCTTCTCTGCAGGTGATATATACAAGGAGCAGTGACTTATTTGGATTAGACTAGGGCTGCTGCCACACTGCAAAACTAATTCAGTTGGACACTGTTTGAATCCATCCTTTGGAATCCTGGGACTTGTAGTTTGTTGTAGAACCAGAGCTCTCTAACAGAGAAGACTAAATATCTCACAAAACTACAAATCCAAGAATTCCATAGTACTGAGCCGTGGCAGTTAAAACAGCATCAAACTGCATTAATTCTGCAGTATATATATATATATATATATATATATATATATATAGCCAAGGCAAGGAATGTGTGGCCCTTCCTCTCTTATGAGGCTCCAACTCTCTGCAATCCCATTCACAATGGCCAATAGTCAGGGACAAGAGGAAGGGTGTGATTCCTCACCCCTAGATTAGCCCAAAGGGCTACCTAGCCAAGCAAGCATTCGGTACCCAAAAAGCATACTTCTGGGAAAATCATAATCAGAGTGAGAAGGCAACCTCCTTCTTTGGCTGTTTGCCCCCAGTATTCAGAAATCCTGCCTCTCAGTATGAATGCACTATTGAGCTAACAGAGATCATGGCTGTTGATTGAATGATTTGCCATGGATTTGTCAAATATCAAATCCTTTTTCAAAAGCTATCCAACTGAGTGAGTGGGATGATCTGTTGGGGAGAAGAATAGAAACAGTACAAATGAATGTGACACCCAGGCAGGGGAGGAAGAGGCAGGGGGTAGCCCAATCTAGCCCCTCATCACTGATCTCATGGTTGAATATTTGTTGTGGTGGTGGTGGTGTTTCTTCAAGTCATTTCCAACTTATGGTGAACATATCATGGGGTTTTCCTGGCACGATTTGTTCAGAGGCAGTTTGCCATTGTCATGCTCTGAGGCTGAGAGCATGTGACTTGCCCAAGGTCACTCACTGGGTTTCATGCCTCAGCTGGGAATGGAACCCTGGTCTCCAGAGTCTTAGTCCTACACTCAAACCAATATGCCACATTGGCTCTCCATGGCTGAACATGCACTGAAGTAAAAAACAAACAAACATGGTGACATACATCAGGCATTCCAGACCCAACCAGTTTCTCCCAACAAAATCTTCTCCCACAACTGACTCCACACCAAAGCTCCCTTGGAGCACCAGCCACATACAGGAAAATTGAAAATTTCCAGAACAGTTTCGGGTAAACTATGAGTTTTTTAAAATGTGTATTAAAACTATAAGATGCACATTCCTCATGCTTTGCTGCAACTTCACTGTGAATTTTCAAGCACATCATATGGTTGGGTCGCAGAAATTATGAGCTGGTTACGAATTTTATTTAGTGTGTAGATAAGCCCAAAGTCCCTTCTTTTTTCCTTCTTTTTAAAAAATAATATTTATTAAAGCTTAAGCATATATAAAATACACATTACATAATAAATTGCATTCATCTTATTATAGACATACATACAATACATACAATATATATAAATCTAATTCCTAAAGCCTGCATAGAGAAAACCAAACTGGAACGACATTCGATAGTCTAGGCTGGTAATACTAACCTACCTCCTATTTTAACTTCATCTTAACCCAATCCTACCTCTTCCTACTCTTTATACCCATTATGGATCTCTCTTTATTCCTATCCTTTTGACGAGGTCTTCCCCTCTTCTATACATCATCCATATCTCTCTCTTTACCACCTTCAACTACAATCAATCCTTTCCTTCTCCATCTTTGCCTCACTACAATATAAAAGTAGGAAGAAATAGAATTGAAAGGACTAGGAGAAAGAAGGAGTTGGAGAAGAATGAAAGTGAGGAAAATCCCTTCTGACACAGATTCTTCAGTTGCTTCCATGTATTGCAGGACATCCACAATCAGTGGGAGCGCTGTGAATTATCTTTACTACATTATATATTTATATTTTATGTTTTAATATATATTTCCCATTAGCTTTTACAGTAATGCAGCATTCTTGACCCAGCCATAAGGAAAACAGATGGCAACTCCTTGAAATTTAGTAAACTACTGAGCAAATCTAGTCTAGGAAAGGCTCTGCTGTCATGAATGTAGTAGTCATTTAAGCACAAGAGAACTTTTCGTTTCCACATATCTTCACAGCACACCTCGGAGTTATCACACAGATAATTAAACTGGCTTACCTGGGCTGACTTAAAATTTAAAATGGGTGGCATCCTGATGTTATCAGAATGCTCTAGCCACCAAATCCACCGCCCGGGTCCAGCCCGGATCCAACCCCGTTCCCAGGGGTGCTCAGCACACCTCTTTTCAAAACTGAGAGTTTTCTGGTTTAAGGTTTTCCAGTCCCTGGGAGTGGGGCTGGACCTGAGCAGCAGATTCAGTGGGTAAATCCTTCTGATTACATCAGGATGCCACCCGTTTTAAATGTTATGCCAGCTCAGGTAAGCCTGTTTTATTACCTGTGCAATAAAGTCCCTCCTCTGGAAGTGACATACTATAGTTACTCTTGACCTTGCTTCTTGCATACCATAGAACAATGATGGCAAAACTTTTAAGGGCTGAGTGCCTAAATTGAAATGCGTTCCAGTACTGGGTGTTAATCAGTGCCAGGGGCAGGACTTCCACCCTCCGGGGATGGGACTTCCGGAGATAGCCGAAGGCCTGGGACAGCAGGGAAAGAAGAGGAACAGGGGTGCATTTGTTCCTCCTCTTCCCCGCCATCCCATGCATTTAGCTGTCTATGGAGAGGTAGATGAAGCGATGGGCGGGCAGGGGAAGAGGAGGAGCAGGTACATGCCTCTTCCTCCTCTTCCTCCTCTTGCCCCATCCTCCCATCTCTCCGTTTGCCCTCCAAAATGGCTTCACATGCCAGAGATGGCGCGCGTGCCATAGGTTCGCCAACACGGCCATAGTACAATATTTCATTTTTTTAAAAAAATCCTGACTTTTTGAGCAGTGGGGGGAAAGGAGCTTGGGTGTACTTTGCACAAGATTTATCTTTGCAGCCAAGAAAGAGTTTACTTGCTGATTCATGATTTTGCTTTTATGGGCAAAGCCTCCTGTTTGTTAGACTTCAGCTGTGTTGCAGCCCATCTGCTTCACGAAATACATTGTCATTGCTGGCAAAATATTGTCAAATGTGGAAGATGTGACTGTGTGTAGACAGTCTTGGGTTGGGTGTCATGGAGACATCTAGTGGTTGCAAAGGCAAATATTTTTGATCTATGTGCTTAAGAGGAAAGGGACACATAACTGATGCTAAAATTTATAGCTCCTTCAAATTCACTTTCCAGAGTCAACTTCTCCTCTTTTCCATTCTATTTCTCTCTCTTTCTCTCTGTATATAAAAACATCCACATGACCAAAGAGGGGAATGGACTCTGCCTGCATTGATATCCCTCCAGACCACCTTAACTGACAGCAACAAAAAATCTTGACAAAATACAGGCCTGTTACTTTAGCATCATTATTTTTTCTTCTTCTCAGGTATGTTTTTTAAATAGTTTTGCCTGATGAAGAATCCAGTGGAGCTTCAAAAGCTTGAATGATGTACTTTGTAGAATAGATTTTTGGTTGGTCCAATAAAGGTATTGCTGTTTTGTGAATTTTGGATTGTATTTTGCTATATGTCCAACACAGTTCCCCCTGGATATATATATGTGTGTGTGTGTATTCTTTCTAAATTCTCATTCTGGCCACATGATCAGAGAGTAGTCTCTGACAACACTGACTCTTTGGCTTAGTAATGGGAGATTATCAGATGAACCATTACTTCTTAAAGGATGGGTGGGATTCGGGATTTATGTTTTGTTTAATGGAAATTGTAATGTTGTAAGCCGCCCCAATTGCACTGCAGAGGGGCGGGATATAAATAAAAATTATTATTATTATTATTATTATTATTATTATTATTATTATTATTATTATTATTATTATTATTAGATGACCACTGTCCCCTATGGTCGGACACAACTTGACAACCTTGTCAACAGAAATACCTTTTTTGTGTGTGTGTGTGTGTGTGTGTGTATGTATATATATATATATATATATATATATATATATATATATATAAGCACCATGGATGGTTTAATCCATGGATAAGGAGGTCCAAATGTATCGTTTTTTCACATTTTATATATGAAGAGTCACACTGGTTCTAATTTCTATGTGTAGGGGTGAAAACTGGACATTGAAGAAAGATGACAGGAAGAAAATCTACTCATCTGAAATGCAGTGTTGGAGAAGAGTCACAGAATGCTAAAAAGAGAAATGAATGGGACTTAAAGCAAATCAAGCCTGAATTCTCACTAGAAGCAAAGATGACTAAACTGAGACTATTGTACTTTGAACATATCATGAGATGACATGACTCATTAAGAAAAATGATAGTCCTTGCTAACGTTTAAAGTAAGGGTAAAAGACAGGGACTTATCTACAGGTGGATTGATTCAATCAAGGAAGCCACAATTCTCTAAGCAGACTCTATGGAATCAACTTGATGGCAAATAACAACACATTGCTAGAGATCCCTAGATTTAGGAAGATCCCTAGATTTAGGCACAATCACTATGCCCTAGATTGTGCCTAAAGTTTCTTATCATGCTTAGATTTTATTTGTTCCTTAAAGGAGGTTAATAGTGGTTTAAATGCTGTTTTTAGTTGTGACTGGACCAACTGAAGCAATAGGATTTACCTATGCATTGACTCACCATTCAAAAATTGATTTAATGGGTCTAGTTTCAAGTGACCAACAGGATGCCAGCCATAATATGCATGTCCAGCTCTTTATACATTATACTCGCAACAATACTATGAGGTAGATTAGGATAAATGAGAGTGACTGGCTTAGTGTCACTTAATAAGCTTCATGGCTGTATGAAGACTGGAACTGGGATATGTGTCTACACAGTCCAAGTCCAACATTGGCCTTTACTCTTCTCCACAGTGACTGTATAAAAGATCACAGTCTATGTTTATATCCCAGCGGTATTCACTTTCTGCAAACATTCATGCAGTTCATTCTTAGTCGGGCAAATATGCGTGACATTGGGATTTGTGAGTTGCCTGCCTCAGATTTCTGAGGAAACAGTCATGCTTGTATAAATTTGTTTTCAGCAAAAATCACTTAGCAATGCAGCCAAACATTGAGCAGCAATGTGCCACAGGGAGCCTGTGACCAGTCATGGTTAGCCAACCTATACTTGAATATTCTCTGGGAATACTTTTCAATCCACAGAGTGAAAACTACTTAGCAAAAACTTGTTGCTGAGTGTTTATGAAGACCCATATTTTCAGAGACAAAATCTGAATACCTATTCAGTCAATGAACAGGAAACAAACAGTGCATTCCTCCAGAAAATTATTCAAGAGATTTACTCCCTACTAGCTGCTCTTACTTCAAAGTGTTAAGTGTGGATTTAGGTAAAATGGCTCAGATTTTAATCCCAAATAGGATTATCAACTTTTCCTCCTTCTGGTCCTGTTCATATACAGTGTCTTTAATAACAGCCTAAACAAGAGGATACTGTTAGGACAGAATACGGAGAAACGGAATAGTTTCCAATTGGAATGGGGGTCTGCATTTTATCACCCTATTTAATTTTTATGCTGAAAACATCATACAAAAAGCAGGATTGGACTCAGAGGTGGGAGGCATGAACATTGGAGAAAGGAATATCAATATGCACATGAAACCATAATACTAGTAAAAATATCAGAAATGTGGAAAATTATTGAAAAAGATCAAGGCAGAAAGTGCAAAGGCAGGTTTGCAGCTGAACATCGAGGAAACAAAAATTATGACCACAGACAATCTACATAATTTTAAAGTAGATGATGAAGAGGTTGCAGTAGTCCAAGATTTTCCATACTTTGGTTCAATCATATATCAGAGCAGAGATTGCAGTCAAGAAATCATAAGAAGATTTGGACTTGGAAGGGCAGCTATGAAGGAACTAGACAAGATTCTGAAGTGTAAAGATATATTATTGAATACCAAAGTTAGGATTGTCCATGCTGTGGTATTTCCCA